AATTGTTACTCAGGGACACAGAATTGTTACTCAGGGACAGACACAGAATTGTTACTGAGGGACACAGAATTGTTACTGAGGGGGACACAGAATTGTTACTCAGGGACACAGAATTGTTACTCAGGGACACACAGAATTGTTACAGGGACACAGAATTGTTACTCAGGGGACACAGAATTGTTACTGAGGGACACAGAATTGTTACTCAGGGACACAGAATTGTTACTGAGGGACACAGAATTGTTACTGAGGGACACAGAAGGGACACAGAACAGAATTGTTACTGAGGGACACAGAATTGTTACTCAGGGACACAGAATTGTTACTCAGGGACACAGAATTGTTACTGAGGGACACACAGAATTGTTACTGAGGGACACAGAATTGTTACTGAGGGACACAGAATTGTTACTCAGGGACACACACAGAATTGTTACTCAGGGACACAGAATTGTTACACAGAATTGTTACTGAGGGACACAGAATTGTTACTGAGGGACACAGAATTGTTACTCAGGGACACAGAATTGTTACTGAGGGACACAGAATTGTTACTCAGGGACACAGAATTGTTACTCAGGGACACAGAATTGTTACTCAGGGACACAGAATTGTTACTCAGGGACACAGAATTGTTACTGAGGGACACAGAATTGTTACTGAGGGACACAGAATTGTTACTCAGGGACACAGAATTGTTACTGAGGGACACAGAATTGTTACTCAGGGACACAGAATTGTTACTGAGGGACACAGACACAGAATTGTTACTCAGGGACACAGAATTGTTACTCAGGGACAGACACAGAATTGTTACTGAGGGACACAGAATTGTTACTGAGGGACACAGAATTGTTACTGAGGGGACACAGAATTGTTACTCAGGGACAGACACAGAATTGTTACTGAGGGACACACAGAAGAATTGTTACTGAGGGACACAGAACTGTTACTGAGGGACAGACACAGAATTGTTACTCAGGGACACAGAATTGTTACTGAGGGACACAGAATTGTTACTCAGGGACACAGAATTGTTACTGAGGGACACAGAATTGTTACTGAGGGACACAGAATTGTTACTGAGGGACACAGAATTGTTACTCAGGGACACAGAAATTGTTACTCAGGGACAGACACAGAATTGTTACTCAGGGACACAGAATTGTTACTCAGGGACACAGAATCGTTGAATTAAAGAGTATGTCAGACAACATGCAGAGGAGTGGCAGAGGAGGCAATGTTTTAGGAGCGAGCAGACGTGGCAGCAGAGGAAGGGGTCGAGGCAGCACTAGTCGCAGCCAGAGGCCAGTGCTCCCGGTGTCATCCAGCGGTCGTGTCTCCACCGACAACCCTGCCGTCATCGATTGGTTGGCTCGGTCGTCTTCCTCTTCCCAGGTCACCTCTGACACCTACAGCCAACGGTCGGTGGGTACGTCAGACACAACCGTTAGTTGGCATGGCCCGGGAGCAAGCCCACTGAAATCACGTGTCCTCTACCTGCCCCTGTCCTTTGGTGTTCCCTCACCAAGCGAAGTATCGCATGCTGTGGGCTCAGCCCCACTGTACAGTGAGGAAGAGCTAACAGAGGGCGGTCAGGAACGGGGGGAGACATCCGCCTCTTCAGCAGCCAGGCAAAGAAGTAGTGGCGAGGAGAGTGGCTCGGTAGCCGGTCTAGAGACAGGTCTGTCTCCTGACCCACACGCAGCCGAGGGGGCTAGTAGTGAGGCGGAGACCCTAATTGATGATGATGAGGCTGATCGCACTTGGCAGCCTCGTCGTCATCAGGCTATTGCTTCCGCATCATCAGGAGAAGGGGTGGCAGCTTGGCAGCGAGCAAAACAGTCGGTGGGTTTGCCCAGGAGGCAGCAGGGTCGCAGCAGTGTCAGTGGAGGCAAACGGCCACGGAGTAGAGCACCAGCTCCACTGCAGCTACCTACCACCACGGCCAGTAGTGGTGCCGGTGTGCACGGAGGAAGTAGCAGTCAGCCAGTGAGGAGTATCGGGGGCAAAGTTTCCTACTCGGCGGTGTGGCAATTTTTCGTCAAGCCGCCCGAGGAAGTAAACGTAGCCGTATGTCGACTATGTGGCCAGAAAGTCAAGCGTGGCCAGGGGGCCCATGTTGGGACTACAGCGTTGCGTCAGCATATGCAGCGTCGCCATTTGGTGGCCTGGGGAAAACCGTGATAAAGATACGGCGGTTCTGCCTGCCCCAGCCCCCCGCTCCATCACCCCGCTCCGTTACTTGCTCCGTCACCGACGTCAACGTCAATCCCCTATCAGCCAGTCAAGGCTCCAACACCTCTGCTGAGGGGAGTTGTCGCTCGTTGGCATCATCTTCCGCTCGTTCAGATGCTCCTTCTCCTGCTACTCCTCTTCACGGATTCCGTCAGCAGTCTTTCTTGGAATCCGTTTCCAAGAGACAACAGTTTGCGAGCACGCACCCGACGGTGCAAAAGCTGAACGTCCTCCTGTCCAAGTTGCTGGTGCTGCAGTCCCTCCCTTTCCAAGTGGTGGACTCAGCACCTTTCCGAGAAATGATGGCTTGTGCCGCGCCGCGGGTGGAGAGTGCCAAGCCGTCATTTCTTCGCCAAAAAGGCAGTGCCAGCCCTGCATTCACATGTAGAAGAGATGGTGGGGGTCCAGTCTTTGAGCATGTCGGTCCTGCCAAAGTGCACGGCGGCAGCGCCGACGTGTGGAGCTGTAACTACGGTCAGGGACAGTACATGTCATTTACGGCCCACATGGGTGAACGTTGTGGTGCCGGCACAGCCGCACCAGCAACTTGGACAGGTCACGCCGCTTTTGCCTCCACGTTTGCACGTCCTTGGTCCACAAAAGATGTCCGCCTCTACCACCTCTTCTTTCCGCCGTGTCCTCAGCCACCACCCCGTGCCAAGTCCCATTACCCGACCGGCATATCACATGTGCAGGGCGCAACGGTGTCACGCTGTGCTGCACCTGGTATGCCTTGGCGAACGTAGTCACACAGGGGAGGAACTTCTGAGTGTAATGAACAGAGAAATCGACAGATGGCTGTCTTCTCCGCGCAAACTGAAAATCGGAACCATGTTGACCGACAACGGAAAGAACATGGTGTCTGCTCTGCGTCAAGGAAGGTTGTGCCATGCGCCATGCATGGCTCACGTGTTCAATCTGGTTGTCAAGCGGTTCCTAAAATCCACCATCCCACTGCAAGACATCCTTAAAATGTCACGTAAACTTTGCATGCATTTCAGCCATTCCTACACCGCAAAGCACACCCTCCTTGAGCTGCAGCGGCAGAACGGAATTCCACAGCATCGCCTGATCTGCGACGTTGCAACAAGGTGGAATTCAACCCTACACATGTTAGACCGCCTTTACGAACAGCGAAAGGCCATCACCGATTTCCTGATGTTACAAGCGGATAAAGGTACTCCCCTGTGTAACTTAGATGTCAGCCATTGGCAGCTCATGCGTGACACCTGCCGCTTGCTCAGGCCCTTTGAGGAGGCCACGCTATTCGTGAGTCGGCAGGACTATGGGATGAACGACGTCATTCCTCTGTTGCACGTCCTGGAACAAATGCTGTTAACAATGGCTGGTCAGGGTGCGGTAGACGTGGCGCACAGATCTCAACGCCACATGACCCCTGTGGGGGCAGGACAGGAAGAAGAGGAGGAGGTAGAGGAGAGACATTTGTGCTCAGGAATTATTGAGTGAAATGGGTGGTTTTTCCACTCAGCGGACAGGAGTGGAGGAGCAGGAGCATCTGGTAGAGGAGGAGGAGGAGGAGACAGAGGACCCAGACGCACCGTGGCAGTATGCTGTGGAGTGGAGATGGATGGAGGCAGGGAGTCCCCTCGCATTCCTTGGCACAAATGGCCCCATAGCATGCTCGGTTGCTTGCGTAGCGACAGCCGAATAATAACCATCAGACAGAGGGATGACTTTTGGCTGTCCACCTTGTTGGACCCTCGCTACCGTTCAAAAATGGTGGCCTTTTTCACACCTGCTGAGAGAGGGAGGCCAAAAATAACGTACTATAAAAACCACCTATGTAGTCAGTTGGTCTCTGCCTTTCTGCGCCAACGTCCATCCTCAGACACTGTGGGCCCTGTGCGCTCGCGTTCCGCTGCCATGGCAGCAGGGGAGGGGTGGGGTGGTAGGAGCAGTGGCAGCTCCACCAGCAGCGGCTGCCTCAGTCTGCAGTCGATGATGTATGAGTAGCTTTCTTCACCAGCGCAGTGAGGAAACTACTAACCAGCCGCCGCAGCAGCAGCAGCATCAGGTGGACCTGGAGCAGGACCTCAAACAACAGGCTTGGGCCTACTTGGACAGCACCCTGCCAACCGAGGTAGACAATCCCCTTGACTACTGGGCAACGAAACTTGACCTTTGGCCCCAACTAGCTGAATTTGCCCTTGAAAGGCTGTCATGCCCGGCCAGTAGCGTGGCATCGGAGCGCGTGTTTAGTGCGGCAGGAGGTATTGTAACTCCGCGGGAGGACACGACTGTCCACCACCCAAAGTGTGGAGAGACTCACGTTTTTGTGAAAATGAATCAGCGTGGATTAGTCTGGATTTCAAACCACCAGTTCCTGACACAACTGACTAAATCCGCCATGAATCATGCCCCAAACATGTGCTCCACTTTGCCAGGTCTTACTCACTGTGCCACAGGTCTCCTCACACTGCTGGGTGTGTTCCATTTTTGTCATAGGGTGCTGGCAGATTACGGGCCTCCCATTGCTGCTGCCAGGCCGTAAATCTGCCATGGGCCCCTGTACCGCCTCCTCCTCATGCTGCTGCTGCCAGGTCCACAGTGTCTCATGGGTCCCTGTACGGGCTCCCCATTGCTGCTGTCTCCATCGCCACACTCTGCCATGTGCCACTTTCAGGTCTCCTCACACTGCTGGTGTGTTCCATTTTTTGTCATAGGGTGCTGGCAGATTACGGGCCTCCCATTGCTGCTGCCAGGCCCGTAATCTGCCTGCCATGGGCCCCTGTACCGCCTCCTCATGCTGCTGCCAGGTCCACAGTGTCTCATGGGTCCCTGTACGGCCTCCCATTGCTGCTGTCTCCATCGCCACACTCTGCCATGTGCCACTTTCAGGTCTCCCTCACACTGCTGGTGTGTTCCTCATTTTTTGTCATAGGGTGCTGGCAGATTACGGGCCTCCCATTGCTGCTGCCTGCCAGGCCCCGTAATCTGCCATGGGCCCCTGTACCGCCTCCTCATGCTGCTGCCAGGTCCAGAGTGTCTCATGGGTCCCTGTACGGCCTCCCATTGCTGCTGTCTCTCCATCGCCACACTCTGCCATGTGCCACTTTCAGGTCTCCTCACACACTGCTGGTGTGTGTTCCATTTTTTGTCATAGGGTGCTGGCAGATTACGGGCCTCCCATAGCATGCTGCAGGCCAGGCCCCCTAATCTGCCATGGCCCCTGTACCGCCACCTCCTCATGCTGCTGCTGCCAGGTCCAGAGTCTCTCATGGGGTCCCTGTACGGCCTCCCATTGCTGCTGTCTCCATCGCCACACTCTGCCATGTGCCACTTTCAGGTCTCCTCACACATTGCTGCTGGTGTGTTCCATTTTTTGTCATAGGGTGCTGGCAGATGGCAGACGGGCCTCTCCCATTAGCTGCTGCCAGGCCCGTAATCTGCCATGGGCCCCCGTACCACCTCCTCATGCTGCTGCTGCCAGGTCCCAGAGTCTCTCATGGGTCCCTGTACGGCCTCCCATTGCTGCTGTCTCCATCGCCACACTCTCTGCCATGTGCCACTTTCAGGTCTCCTCACACTGCTGGTGTGTTCCATTTTTTGTCATAGGGTGCTGGCAGATTACGGGCCTCCCATTGCTGCTGCCAGGCCCCTAATCTGCCATGGGCCCCTGTATACCGCCTCCTCATGCTGCTGCCAGGTCCAGAGTGTCTCATGGGTCCCTGGTTACGGCCTCCCATTGCTGCTGTCTCCATCGCCACACTCTGCCATGTGCCACTTTCAGGTCTCCTCACACTGCTGCTGGTGTGTTCCATTTTTTTGTCATAGGGTGCTGGCAGATTACGGGCCTCCCATTGCTGCTGCCAGGCCCCGTAATCTGCCATGGGGCCCCTGTACCGCCTCCTCATGCTGCTGCCAGGTCCACAGAGTCTCTCATGGGTCCCTGTACGGCCTCCCATTGCTGCTGTCTCCATCGCCACACTCTGCCATGTGCCACTTTCAGGTCTCCTCACACTGCTGGTGTGTTCCATTTTTTTGTCATAGGGTGCTGGCAGATTACGGGCCTCCCATTGCTGCTGCCAGGCCCGTAATCTGCCATGGGCCCCCCGTAACCTACCTCCGCCTCCTCATGCTGCTGCCATGGGTCCAGAGTGTACATGGGTCCCATGTACCGCCCTTTGTGCTGCTGTCAGGCCATCGCCACAGATTTCCTGCCATGTGCCACTTTCAGGTCTCCTCACACTGCTGATGTGTGTTCCATTTTTTGTCATAGGGTGCTGGCAGATTACGGGCCTCCCATTGCTGCTGCCAGGGATGAAATCTGCCATGGGCCCCCTGTTGCACCTCCTCAAATGCTGCTAGCCAGGTGGTCAGAGTGTCTCGGTCATGGGTCCCTGTACGGCCTCCCATTGCTGCTGTCTCCATCGCCACACCCTCTGCCATGTGCCACTTTCAGGTCTCCTCACACTGCTGGTGTGTTCCATTTTTTTGGGTGCAGATTCGGGAATCCCATTTGAGTGGCCCGTAATCTGCCATGGGTGTACCGCCTCCTCATTTTCCCACTCATGGGACAGCTGCGATCGTCCCATTTGCTGCTGTCTCCAGGACTCTGCATCTGCCACTTTCAGGTCTCCTCCCTGGTTCCTTTTTTTGTCATAGGGTGCTACCAGAATTACAGGGACCCAGCGCTGCCATGGCCAGTATGCTGTCTCCATGGGCCGGTAGTGTCTCCCGTACGGCCTCACCCTGAGTCCCTTTCAGGTCTCCTCACACTGCTCCCATTTTTTGTCATAGGTGCTGGCAGATTACGGCCTCCCATAGCTGCTGCCAGGGGTAATCTGCCATGGCCCCCGTACCGCCTCCTCATGCCTGCCAGGTCCCACTTTGTGGCCTCCCATTGCTGCTGTCTCCATCGCCACACTCTGCCATGTGCCACTTTCAGGTCTCCTCACACTGCTGAGAGTGGTGTGTTCCATTTTTTGTCATAGGGTGCTGGCAGATTGGGCCTGCCATTTCTGCTGCTGCCAGGCCTGTAATCTGACCATGGGCCCCTGTGCGCCGCCTCCTCATGCTGCTGCCAGGTCCAGAGGGTCTCATGGGTCCCTGTACGGCCTCCCATTTGCTGCTCTCCATCGCCACACTGCCAGTGTGCCATCTGATGTCAGTTTCAGGTTCCTCACAGCTGCTGGTGTGTTTCCATTTTTTGTCATAGGGTGCTGGCAGATTACGGGCCTCCCATATTGCTGCTAGCTCTGCCAGGCCCGCAATCAGCCATCATCAGGTGGCCCCTGGAGCAGGACCTCAAACAACAGGCTTGGGCCTACTTGGACAGCACCCTGCCAACATGCGAGGTAGACAATCCCCTTGACTCTGGTGCATGAAACTTCCCTTACGGCCCCCATTGCTGCTGAATCCATCGCCACCCTTGCCAGGCCACTTGTCAGGTCTCCTCACCACTGCTGGTGGTTCCATCGGAGCGCGTGTCATAGGGTGCTGGCAGATTACGGGTCCCATTGCTGCTGCCAGGCCCGTAATCTGCCATGGGCCGACTGTACCGCCTCCTCATGCTGCTGCCAGAGACTCACAGAGTGTCTCATGTTCAGTCGTGGATTAGTACTGGCCTCCCATTGCTGCTGTCTAAATCCGCCGCCACACTCTGCCATGTGCCACTTTCAGGTCTCCTCACACTGCTGGTGTGTTCCATTTTTTGTCATAGGGTGCTGGCAGATTACGGGCCTCCCCATTGCTGCTGCCAGGCCCGAATCTGCCATGGGCCCCCTGTACCGCCTCCTCATGCTGCTGCCAGGTCCAGTTGGATCTCATGGGTCCCTGTACGGCCTCCATTGCTGCTGTCTCCATCGATCACACACTCTGCCATGTGCCACTTTCAGGTCTCCTCACACTGCTGGTGTGTTCCATTTTTTGTCATAGGGTGCTGGCAGATTACGGGCCTCCCATTGCTGCTGCCAGGCCCGTAATCTGCCATGGGCCCCTGTACCCCGCCTCCTCATGCTGCTGCCAGGTCCACAGTGTCTCATGGGTCCCTGTACGGCCTCCCATTGCTGCTGTCTCCATCGCCACACTCTGCCATGTGCCACTTTCAGGTCTCCTCACACTGCTGGTGTGTTCCATTTTTTGTCATAGGGTGCTGGCAGATTACGGGCCTCCCATTTGCTGCTGCCAGGCCCGTAATCTGCCATGGGCCCCTGTACTTCCGCCTCCTCATGCTGCTGCCAGGTCCAGAGTGTCTCATGGGTCCCTGTACGGCCTCCCATTGCTGCTGTCTCCATCGCCACACTCTGCCATGTGCCACTTTCAGGTCTCCCTCACACTGCTGGTGGGTTCCATTTTTTGTCATAGGGTGCTGGCAGATTACGGGCCCTCCCATTGCTGCTGCCAGGCCCGTAATCTGCCATGGGCCCCTGTACCCGCCTCCTCATGCTGCTGCCAGGTCCAGAGTGTCTCATGGGTCCCTGTACGGCCTCCCATTGCTGCTGTCTCCATCGCCACACTCTGCCATGTGCCACTTTCAGGTCTCCTCACACTGCTGGTGGGTTCCATTTTTGTCATAGGGTGCTGGCAGATTACGGGCCTCCCATTGCTGCTGCCAGGCCCGTAATCTGCCATGGGCCCCTGTACCGCCTCCGCCTCCTCTGCTGCTGCCCCAGGTCCAGAGTCTCTCATGGGTCCCTGTACGGCCTCCCATTGCTGCTGTCTCCATCGCCACACTCTGCCATGTGCCACTTTCAGGTCTCCTCACACTGCTGGTGTGTTCCATTTTTTGTCATAGGGTGCTGGCAGATTACGGGCCTCCCATTGCTGCTGCCAGGCCCCGTAATCTGCCATGGGCCCCCGTACCGCCTCCTCATGCTGCTGCCAGGTCCAGAGTGTCTCATGGGTCCCTGTACGGCCTCCCATTGCTGCTGTCTCCATCGCCACACTCTGCCATGTGCCACTTTCAGGTCTCCTCACACACTGCTGGTGTGTTCCATTTTTTGTCATAGGGTGCTGGCAGATTACGGCCCTCCCATTGCTGCTGCCAGGCCCGTAATCTGCCATGGGCCCCCTGTACCGCCTCCTCATGCTGCTGCCAGGTCCAGAGTCTCTCATGGGTCCCTGTACGGCCTCCCATTGCTGCTGTCTCCATCGCCACACTCTGCTGCCATGTGCCACTTTCAGGTCTCCTCACACTGCTGGTGTGTTCCATTTTTTGTCATAGGGTGCTGGCAGATTACGGGCCTCCCATTGCTGCTGCCAGGCCCCGTAATCTGCCATGGGCCCCTGTACCGCTCCAGGCCTCCTCATGCTGCTGCTGCTGCCAGGTCCAGAGTCTCTCATGGGTCCCTGTACGGCCTCCCATTGCTGCTGTCTCCATCGCCACACTCTCTGCCATGTGCCACTTTCAGGTCTCCTCACACTGCTGGTGTGTTCCATTTTTTTGTCATAGGGTGCTGGCAGATTACGGGCCTCCCATTGCTGCTGCCAGGCCCGTAATCTGCCATGGGCCCCCGTACCGCCTCCTCATGCTGCTGCCTGTGCCCCAGGTCCAGAAGTCTCTCATGGGTCCCTGTACGGCCTCCCCATTGCTGCTGTCTCCATCGCCACACTCTGCCATGTGCCCAAGTCTCCTCACAACTGGATAAAGTCTTCCTCACACTGTCCTGTGTCTGGCAATTACGATGTCTCCCATTGCTGCTGCAGCCCATGCCGGGCCCCCGCCCTTCAGCTGCTGCCAGGCCCCTTCTGCCATGGGCCCCTATTGTGATCGGCCTCCTCATGGGCTGAACGACGTCCATTCCATGTCATTTCACTGTCCTCAACATTGCTGCTGTCCATCAATCGCTGGTCAGGGTGCTGGCAGATTTACGTGGCCACTTTCAGGTCTCCTCACCACATGCTGGTGTGGGGCCCCAGGACCAGCCTCCTCAAGGGAGGTAGAGGAGGCACATTGGGTCCCTGGGCCTCCCATTGCTGCTGTCTGGCCAGTTCGCCCACTAATCTGCCATGAGGCCCACTTTACCCAACCGCATCTGGTCACTGCTGCTGCCAGAGCCCCCAGAGTCGTCTCATGGGCTGTGGCAGATAACGGCCTCCCATTGCTGATTCCATGGCCCAACTCTGCCATACATGCTCGGTTGCTTGCAGTTAGGCCAGTCTGCTCACACTAATTCTGACATGGTTCCCCGCAATTACGGGCCTCCCATTGCAGCTGCCAGGTCCCCTTCTGCCATGGGTCCCCTTGTACCCTCGAGCCCACCATGCTGCCAGGTCCAGAGTCTCTCATGGGCCCCTGTACGGCCTCTCCCATTGCAGCTTGTCTCCATCGCCACACTCTGCCATGTGCCACTTTCAGGTCTCCTCAAAAACTGCTGGTGTGTTCCATTTTTTTGTGGAGGGTCTGCAGATTACGGGCCTCCCATCCATGCTGCTGCCAGGCCAGACACAGTAATCTGCCATGGGCCCCTGTAACCACCGCCTCCTCATGCTGCTGCCAGGTCCAGAGTCTCTCATGGGTCCCTGTACGGCCTCCCATTGCTAGCTGTCTCCATCGCCACACACTGCCATGTGCCACTTTCAGTCTCCTCACATCTGCTGATGGTGTGTTCCATTTTTTGTCATAGGGTGCTGCAAGCAGCATTGGACCTGGAGATCAGGACCTCAAACAACAGGCTGCCTTGGGCCTACTTGGACAGCCTGCCAACCGAGGTAGACAATCTCCCATTGACTACTGGGCAACGATAAACTTGACCATTGGCCCCAACTAGCTGAATTATGCCCTTGAAAGGCTGTCTGCCCGGCCATAGCTGCATCGGAGCGCGTGTTTAGTGCCAGGAGTATTGTCATGGGTCCCCTGTACGGCCTCACCATTGCTGCTGTCTCCATCCATCGCCACACTCTGCCATGTGCCACTGTTCAGGTCTCCTCACACTGCTGGTGTGTTCCATTTTTTGTCATAGGGTGCTGGCAGATTACGGGCCTCCCATTGCTGCTGCCAGGCAGGCCCGTAATCTGCCATGGGCCCCTGTTACCGCCCTCCTCATGCTGCTGCCGTAGGTCCAGAGTGTCTCATGGGTCCCCAATACGGCCTCCCATTGCTGCTGTGTCTCCATCGCCACACTCTGCCATGTGCCACTTTCAGGTCTCCTCACACTGCTGGTGTGTTCCATTTTTTTGTCATAGGGTGCTGGCAGATTACGGGCCTCCCATTGCTGCTGCCAGGCCCGTAATCTGCCATGGGCCCCCTGTAACCGCGCCTCCCTCCTCATGCTGCTGCCAGGTCCAGAGTGTTCATGGGTCCCTGTACGGCCTCCCATTGCTGCTGTCTCCATCGCCACACTCTGCCATGTGCCACTTTCAGGTCTCCTCACACTGCTGGTGTGTTCCATTTTTTGTCATAGGGTGCTGGCAGATTACGGGCCTCCCATTGCTGCTGCCAGGCCCGTAATCTGCCATGGGCCCCTGTAAACCCCACCGCCTCCTCATGCTGCTGCCAGGTCCCAGAGTCTCTCATGGGTCCCTGTACGGCCTCCCATTGCTGCTGTCTCCATCGCCACACTCTGCCATGTGCCACTTTCAGGTCTCCTCACACTGCTGGTGTGTGTTCCATTTTTTGTCATAGGGTGCTGGCAGATTACGCTGCCTCCCATCTGCCATGCTGCATGCCTGCCAGGCCCGTAATCTGCCATGGGCCCCCTGTACCGCCTCCTCCTCTGCTGCTGCCAGGGTCTGCCCAGAGTAATCTCTCTCATGGGTCCCCGTCACTGTCCTCCTCAATCTGCTGCCAGGTCCCCTGTCCCGGCCTCCCATTGCTGCTGTCTCCATCGCCACACTCTGCCATGTGCCACTTTCAGGTCTCCCTCACACTGCTGGTGTGTTCCATTTTTTGTCATAGGGTGCTGGCAGATTACGGGCTCTCCCATTGCTGCTGCCAGGCCCGTAATCTGCCATGGGCCCCTGTACCGCCATGCCCCCCTCCTCATGCTGCTGCCTGCCAGGTCCAGAGTGTCTCATGGGTCCCTGTACGGCCTCCCATTGCTGCTGTGTCTCCATCGCCACACACCTTCTGCCATGTGCCACTTTCAGGTCTCCTCACACTGCTGGTGTGTTCCATTTTTTGTCATAGGGTGCTGGCAGATTACGGGCCTCCCATGCTGCTGCTGCCAGGCCCGTAATCTGCCATGGGCCCCTGTACCGCCTCCTCATGCTGCTGCCAGGTCCAGAGTCTCTCTCATGGGTCCCTGTACGGCCTCCCATTGCTGCTGTCTCCATCGCCACACTCTGCCATGTACCACTTTCAGGTCTCCTCACACTGCTGGTGTGTTCCATTTTTTTGTCATAGGGTGCTGGCAGATTACGGGCCTCCCATTGCTGCTGCCAGGCCCGTAATCTGCCATGGGCCCCCGTACTGACTCCTCATGCTGTGACGTTGCAACAAGGTGGAATTCAACCCTACATATGTTAGACCCCGCCTTTACGAACAGCGAAAGGCCATCACAGATTCCTGATGTTACAAGCGGATAAAGGTACTCCCCTTGTGTAACTTAGATGTCAGCCATTGGCAGCTCATGCGTGACACCTGCCGCTTGCTCAGGCCCTTTGAGGAGGCCACGCTATTCGTGAGTCGGCAGGACTATGGGATGAACGACGTCATTCCTCTGTTGCACGTCCTGGAACAAATGCTGTTAACAATGACTGCTGGTCAGGGTGCGGTAGACGTGGCGCACAGATCTCAACGCCACATGACCCCTGTGGGGGCAGGACAGGAAGAAGAGGAGGAGGTAGAGGAGGACATTGGTGCTCAGGAATTATTGAGTGAAATGGGTGGTTTTTCCACTCAGCGGACAGGAGTGGAGGCGCAGGAGCATCTGGTAGAGGAGGAGGAGGAGGAGACAGAGGACCCAGACGCACCGTGGCAGTATGCTGTGGAGATGGAGGCAGGGAGTCCCTCGCATTCCTTGGCACAAATGGCCCATAGCATGCTCGGTTGCTTGCGTAGCGACAGCCGAATAATAACCATCAGACAGAGGGATGAATTTTGGCTGTCCACCTTGTTGGACCCCCTCGCTACCGTTCAAAAATGGTGGCCTTTTTCACACCTGCTGAGAGGGAGGCCAAAATAACGTACTATAAAAAACCACCTATGTAGTCAGTTGGTCTCTGCCTTTCTGCGCCAACGTCCATCCTCAGACACTGTGGGCCCTGTGCGCTCGCGTTCCGCTGCCATGGCAGCAGGGGAGGGGTGGGGTGGTAGGAGCAGTGGCAGCTCCACCACCAGCAGCAGCTGCCTCAGTCTGCAGTCGATGATGAGTAGCTTTCTTCACCAGCGCAGTGAGGAAACTACTAACCAGCCGCAGCAGCAGCATCAGGTGGACCTGGAGCAGGACCTCAAACAACAGGCTTGGGCCTACTTGGACAGCTCCCTGCCAACCGAGGTAGACAATCCCCTTGACTACTGGGCAACGAAACTTGACCTTTGGCCCCAACTAGCTGAATTTGTCCTTGAAAGCTGTCATGCCCGGCCAGTAGCGTGGCATCGGAGCGTGTGTTTAGTGCGGCAGGAGGTATTGTAACTCCGCGGAGGACACGACTGGCCCCATACCCCAAAGTGTGGAGAGACTCACGTTTGTGAAAATGAATCAGGCGTGGATTAGTCTGGATTTCAAACCACCTGTCCTGACACACAACTGACTGCTAAATCCGCCATGAATCATGCCCCAAACATGTGCCACTTTCAGGTCTCCTCACACACTGCTGGTGTGTTTTCCATTTTTTGTCATAGGGTGCTGGCAGATTACGGGCCTCCCATTGCTGCTGCCAGGCCCGTAATCTGCCATGGGCCCCCGTACCGCCTCCTCATGCTGCTGCCAGGTCCATAGTCTCTCATGGGTCCCTGTACGGCCTCCCATTGCTGCTGTCTCCATCGCCACACTCTGCCATGCCATGTGCCACTTTCAGGTCTCCTCACACTGCTGGTGTGTTCCATTTTTTGTCATAGGGTGCTGGCAGATTACGGGCCTCCCATTGCTGCTGCCAGGCCCGTAATCTGCCATGGGCCCCTGTACCGCCTCCTGTACCGCCTCCTCATGCTGCTGCCAGGTCCAGAGTGTCTCATGGGTCCCTGTACGGCCTCCCATTGCTGCTGTCTCCATCGCCACACTCTCTGCCATGTGCCACTTTCAGGTCTCCTCACACTGCTGGTGTGTTCCATTTTTTGTCATAGGGTGCTGGCAGATTACGGGCCTCCCATTGCTGCTGCCAGGCCCGTAATCTGCCATGGGCCCCTGTACCGCCCGCCTCATGCTGCTGCCAGGTCCCAGAGTGTCTCATGGGTCCCTGTACGGCCTCCCATTGCTGCTGTCTCCATCGCCACACTCTGCCATGTGCCCACTTTCAGGTCTCCTCACACTGCTGGTGTGTTCCATTTTTTGTCATAGGGTGCTGGCAGATTACGGGCCTCCCATTGCTGCTGCCAGGCCCGTAATCTGCCATGGGCCCCCGTACCGACTCCTCATGCTGTGACGTTGCAACAAGGTGGAATTCAACCCTACATATGTTAGACCGCCTTTACGAACAGCGAAAGGCCATCACAGATTCCTGATGTTACAAGCGGATAAAGGTACTCCCCTGTGTAACTTAGATGTCAGCCATTGGCAGCTCATGCGTGACACCTGCCGCTTGCTCAGGCCCTTTGAGGAGGCCACGCTATTCGTGAGTCGGCAGGACTATGGGATGAACGACGTCATTCCTCTGTTGCACGTCCTGGAACAAATGCTGTTAACAATGGCTGGTCAGGGTGCGGTAGACGTGGCGCACAGATCTCAACGCCACATGACCCCTGTGGGGGCAGGACAGGAAGAAGAGGAGGAGGTAGAGGAGGACATTGGTGCTCAGGAATTATTGAGTGAAATGGGTGGTTTTTCCACTCAGCGGACAGGAGTGGAGGCGCAGGAGCATCTGGTAGAGGAGGAGGAGGAGGAGGAGGAGACAGAGGACCCAGACGCACCGTGGCAGTATGCTGTGGAGATGGAGGCAGGGAGTCCCTCGCATTCCTTGGCACAAATGGCCCAAGCATGCTCGGTTGCTTGCGTAGCGACAGCCGAAATAATAACCATCAGACAGAGGGATGAATTTTTGGCTGTCCACCTTGTTGGACCCTCGCTACCGTTCAAAAATGGTGGCCTTTTTCACACCTGCTGAGAGGGAGGCCAAAAATAACGTACTATAAAAACCACCTATGTAGTCAGTTTGGTCTCTGCCTTTCTGCGCCAACGTCCATCCTGAGACACTGTGGGCCCTGTGCGCTCGCGTTCCGCTGCCATGGCAGCAGGGGAGGGGTGGGGTGGTAGGAGCAGTGGCAGCTCCACCAGCAGCGGCTGCCTCAGTCTGCAGTCGATGATGAGTAGCTTTCTTCACCAGCGCAGTGAGGAAACTACTAACCAGCCGCAGCAGCATCAGGTGGACCTGGAGCAGGACCTCAAACAACAGGCTTGGGCCTACTTGGACAGCTCCCTGCCAACCGAGGTAGACAATCCCCTTGACTACTGGGCAACGAAACTTGACCTTTGGCCCCAACTAGCTGAATTTGTCCTTGAAAGGCTGTCATGCCCGGCCAGTAGCGTGGCATCGGAGCGCGTGTTTAGTGCGGCAGGAGGTATTGTAACTCCGCGGAGGACACGACTGTCCACCCAAAGTGTGGAGAGACTCACGTTTGTGAAAATGAATCAGGCGTGGATTAGTCTGGATTTCAAACCACCAGTTCCTGACACAACTGACTAAATCCGCCATGAATCATGCCCCAAACATGTGCCACTTTCAGGTCTCCTCACACTGCTGGTGTGTTCCATTTTTTGTCATAGGGTGCTGGCAGATTACGGGCCTCCCATTGCTGCTGCCAGGCCCGTAATCTGCCATGGGCCCCCGTACCGCCTCCTCATGCTGCTGCCAGGTCCAGAGTCTCTCATGGGTCCCTGTACGGCCTCCCATTGCTGCTGTCTCCATCGCCACACTCTGCCATGTGCCACTTTTAGGTCTCCTCACACTGCTGGTGGGTTCCATTTTTGCCATAGGGTGCTGTATGGCCTCCCATTGCTGCTGCCTCCACCGCCACACTGTGGCTCCACACTCTGGTTTTGGCCCCGTGACTGCCCAAATGAGTAAAGTGTGCGGTGATTCTAAGATCGACGGCACTCATCTGCATGTCAGACTGACTGACAGTATTATTTCTCTTCCCCAGCAGACTCCAAGGGCATTTAAATTAAAGGTACAGTGTTCTGCACTAATATGAAGGCTCTCTGAAGCCTAGAAACACCCTTTTATAAGTTAAATTCGCAGCGAATATATTCGCATCGAATCGAATTTATTCCTCGAATTCGCCGAATCAGCCGAATTGAATTTTTGAATACTTCGCTCATCTCTAGTGACAGCATTAGTTATACTCTGACATAACCATGGTTATGGATCCCAGATATGAAATCACCAAACCCTTGGTTGTAGGCTCATTTAAATAAAGATAAACCTAACATGAGTCACTCTTCATAGGTTTATTAGTTTAGTGATCTGGATAGTTAACAGTCCATAGAGCAGATGTGCATTACGTTTGGACAGGTGGCTTCTGCTGGCATCCGTTTGTTGGATCTGTTCAAATTGGATGTTAAGCTTGTAAACTGGAAGGTCAAATGTATCTATAGACCATAAAGGGCAACAAATGTATATGGCTCAGAATAATCTGAGTTCACATTTCACTGACCACAGGTTAGCAATTCCATTTAGGTAGGCTGTATTAGCTAACAGATAAATCCACCAGTATGAATTAAAAAGGATAATCGTATATAAGGCTATTTTAGTGTAGCACTTGTGGCATCTCATCGCCGTCTCATCCAAGCATGGGGACACTTTTGGATGTTGCTTCTGGATGTGATGACATCATTATGTTGATGCATTTCGTCCCCCAATCATTGCGGACTTCTTCAGAATGAGGAAGGGTCAATCATGGCTTGCTTAAATACCCAGTCATGGATATATTAATGTAAGAAAACACCGTCTTCTGTTAGAATATCATCACTACATCCTATCAACATAAAATTAAGGCTTACGATTGTGCTTTCATTACTTTTTATGTAACCAACACGGACTTGGTGTAGTGAGGAAACAAAAGCTCTACTTAACAATTACTAAATTCTATAGGACAAATTCATAGATAATAAGCATTATTTAATTGCAATAGTAGGATTAGCTGTTAACATATGCCAATGTTTTTATAGAGTATTTTTTACTTCCTTCCTCTGTTGACTATACTTTGTGATAAATCTGGTAAGACTAATGAAGTCAAACTTCTGTTCTTTATTTTTAATCTCTAATAATGTAGATCTTGGTGTTGGTAACGCTCTTCTCTTTGCTTTTCTTAGTGTTTTGTGCGGATAGCCTCTTTTTATGAATCTCTGGTACATAGAATTTGCCTCTAATTATAATTGTAGGGTATCAGTACAGTTATCCGGAGAAATTGACCAATAGGGATACCCTGTCTCAGGAAATTTCTTGTAAATCGTAGTTGTATGTCAATTTGATATTTCTCTCATTGAGGTTTAGCTTAGTGATAAATTCCCTGAGTTGACTCATAGAACCATTCCAGAGTATCAGGATGCCATCAATGTACCTCAGCCATTCTGGAACGTGGCTGAGGTACATCAGCATCTGATACACTATGTCCTGTTCCCATAAACAGGCATACACCGGGGCCCAAGGGGCTACCATAGAAGTGCTGCATATCTGTGAGTAGCTGGTCCCCAGGAACTGAAAACAGTGATTGTCTAACATAAAATCCTGTAAGTCCAGTATGAATTTATTCTTGGCTCCCATATCTGGTAGTGCAGTTCAAGGAAATGAGCCATCGCTATTTTTCACCATTTATGGGGGATGGGCGTGTAGAGTGACCCCACATCCACCCCAGCCAGTAGGGTTCCTTCAGGCACCTCAACATCCTCTATTTTGGACAAAATGTCTCTTGTGTCCTGTAAATAGGAAGGCAATGTGGTTTCCATATCTTTAATCAAATCATCCAGGTATCTCCCTACTATTTTCAAAGGTCCATTTACTGCAGAGACAATGGGCCTTCCTAGTGGTTTCACTGGGTTATTATGAGTCTTAGGAATCACATAAAGTTTCAGAATATTAAAAGTGTCTATCTTTAAAAAGTCATATTCATATTTTGTTAAAAGATGAATGGGACATTATGTCCCTGGAAACTTATAATGAAAACAGTGTTGTCACACGGGTCTTAGAGAAAAGGTAATACCAGAAGAACACTTTCATACCTACAGACTCTTAGAAAAATGGAAAACACAATGCATAAAACATGTGATAGAAATCATGCGTTTGAAAGCTCAGATAAGGATTGGGGGAGGGGAGGCCACTGCACATAGGTTTTTTATCTTCATGCATAGAATACATGAAGGTAAAAAATATTGAGCCTTCAGATCCACTTTGAAGGTGGGTGGGCAGAGCCTGATGTGGATTCAGAGACACTTGTCATTGCCAGCAGGCAGTGTGCAGATTCATAGTCAATAGATCGCAAAATATTGGCTATATAATCCACACACTGCTTGCTGTCAATCAGAGAGACAGACCTGATAGGGAACTGGTGTCTCAGCTTTCCCTTCAGTCTCTGACTACTGTCAGCATCACGGGTTGCTAGGAGGCTGTCAGTTGTGAAGCCAAAAGCATTCCTGACAAGTGGGTAGGAAGGAGCAGCAGCAAACATGCTGCCTGCTACACATCGTACAGAGACAGACACTCTGCCTGTCTCTGTACACCAACTTATAGTTGGTCTTTGTTACCTCCAGTTTCATTATCTATGAGCTGGAGTTAATTATTTTCAGTTTGGTGCAGTAACAGTGGAAGTTTCTAAAAGTGATACTATTGGGAACTACCTGCATCTGCCAAACATGTCAGTAAAGCTTGCAGAGCAGTAGTTTTTAAATCTGGCACAAATCATTTTAATAGGCCATACTGCCAGAAAAGTGTTGTTAGAGCTTTATTGAACTCCCCCAATTCTGTGCCCTACATTCTTCTCGACATGACAAAAAAAAATATTTTTGGCTTGGATTTCCAATGCATGTTTTGTCAGCCATGCCTGCTTTATTTCAGATGCATTAGAAAGAATGCAGATCTCTTTTCATCTCTCTTTTCATCTCTCTTTTTTTGAACTTATAAAATAGTTATGCCAAAACATTTGTCCAAGTTTTATTTAGCAGACTAAAAGGGAGCAAACAAGAAAAGTTCATTGTTAGGGATTACGTAGACTTTAAAGCAACCCTGTGAAAATTTGAACTGGGAGCTTACTGTAAAGCAAAACGTTATTACTTATCTGTCCCACTGCTTGTGCTGCTGAACTCCACTGCAATGAAGAGGGAAAATGACAGAAAGATATCCAGCGTCTGGCACACTATAAGATGTGTCTATTACCCGTGTGAGATGGGGAAGCAGCTCTCATTGTTTGAACACTGTTTGTGTGCAGTAAATTATTGTGTGGAGTAAATTAAATGTTCTGGAGTGACATTCTGCTGTTTAGCCACAAGATGCCATTGTTTTCCTAACACAGCCTCAGACTGCATAGATATTTCTATATTCATGAAGAGGTGAGGTTTTCACACAGGGTTTAGGGAACAGGAAGAGGAGAGACAGCAGCCATGTTTAGAGGATGGTGAAAGAAGGACCCGTGTAAGCTGAGAATCTGATGACATCCAGGTGTGAAAGCATCCCTCAGTAACCAGAGCTGCAGCTAAGTGAAGCTGATCGTGTGTCCAAGACCCTGATCCTGTTCAGACAAAGGAAGATTGCCAGGAATGCTGATGAGAGCAGAGGAACTAAGCAATATAAACTGCGATACCGCATGCTTGTTGGAGAGACATTTGTTCTGTTCAGAGTCACAAGTCGGTAAGATCGTGCACGTACCTCATTTCAGTGTTGGTGCCTAGAGACTGATTTGAGGTCTATAGTTAGTTAGTTAGGGTCTCTGTTTGTGTCAGGCCACAAGTGTTATTACTGATCATTGGAAGGACTCCATAACTTAAAGTGACATTTCACATTGGAGAGCTGATAAAATCCCACAAACTCAAGCCAGACTGGCGTTTTGCTCAGAAGGAATACTCAGGCACGTGCTACAGGACCAGTTATGGGAAGGAGGAATACTGTAGATTTGTGTAAGATTGTAAGCTGTTGTGCTGCACCGCAGGCTAGCCCATACTGTACACCCATACACTGATTCCTGCTCTATTAGGGTAATAACGGGTAAGGTGTGTGGCAGCTTAGTTGTGCCCGCCAGTAGGTAAATTACTACACCTTCTACCTTCATCCATCAGGAGGCGCCGTGCTGTGCAGCACAAGGGTCTCAGCCTTTGGGCTGGGTATATGTAAATTTATTGTATGTTCTCAGCATTTGTGGTTGTGTTTATTTGCCACATCTAAGTAAAATTCTGTTGTGGCAAAAGCTGGTGTTGAGGGGTTGCTTTCCTCGTTCATGACTTCACTGTATCCTGGGGAGCCCACCCCGGTACATGGCTTACACCCGGTCCTCTGCAGTGCTCTGGTTCTTTCTTCCAGCCCTTACATCACTATTGTATCTTGTAGTGGAAGTGTTAAATGTAGAAGATCTTTCAGCAAGCTTTTGCTTTCAGTGTAGTGAAGTCAGCAGCACAGGCAGCTTGGCAGTATTTACACTTTACTTTGCTGCTAGTTATTATTTTAAATAGGGATAGTTTAAAGGGGAAGTGTGGGGTTTTTAACCCCTTGGCGCTGGTGCCTCCTGGCCCTTTAAGGGTTTCAGAAGCCAGGAGGTGGGCGGGGTTTAGGGTCATGTGACCGCCGTGATTCACCGTCATGGTGGTCACATGATTGGGAAAGGTCCCGATCGAAAGAGGAGATCGGGACCTTTCCTTGAGTACCGGACATGTGTGCTGGGAGCGAGCAGCGCTTGCGCTCTCAGCACATATGTTTTTCTTAATTGCACACAAATGTGTGGCCGCTCGGCGTCTAGGCCCAGATGCCGGGAGGCCGCACATTTGTGTGCAGCCAGCGTGAAGAGCTTGAAAACTAAACCTACACACCTCTATGCTGCAGCTGCCCCACATTATTCATATGCCTAAAAACTGGAAGATCACATGGCCATTGATTGCTCATTGGAGCACTGGGCAGGGGAGGAATCCTTCCAGGGCCTGGAGCAGCTCTTCAGCTGATAGTGGGCAATATTGGGTAATTCTGGGCAGGGTGGATTTGATTTAAATCAAACTG